GAGAGTCCTCACTCCCTTCTTCTGGAGACACATGGCTACTTTCTTCTGACAAGGGTGCAGAGGGCTCCTTTCTTCTCTCAGCTGTCTCTTCCTCCTCACAGTTTACCTCTGGGAACTCAGGAACATATTCCTTTTGCATTTCCATTCTTTTAAGTTTATGCTCCCTTTCCACATTCCTTTCTTAGGCTGTTGCTTTTCTGCTTCTAGCTCCTTCTCTTGACCTTCATGCTTTTGATTTTCCAACTCTAGTGTTCTCTGGTTGGCCTTCTCTTGCTGTTGCTTTTCTTCCTTTCTTTATGTGACTCTCCACTATTTCCAGCTTTCTGGTCTTCTCTGCTATTTCCAGCTTTTGGACCTCTATCCTGGTCAGGTCGAGATTCAGGGCTGCCTTGCTGGAAGCTGTGTCAGGCTGGTTTTTCTAAACCTATACCCCCTCAGGCTCGGGCTCTTTGGCTGGATCAGTCAGATCTCCTTGCTGCTTATCACATTCCATGAGTAGAGATCTCATTCCTTCCACGTTTTTCTCTGTAGTATTTGAGCCACGGTCTGTGCACAGTTTTTCCAGCTGCTTTCTGGTATCTTTAGCATATGTCTCCTGTTTATTCATCCCGTATTTTTCTTTTGTTTTTATTTCCCTTACCCAAAATAAACAAATGGAAAATAACTATTTCCAGTCTTCTCATTTTTGCATCTGTGTCTGTATCACCTAGAGTATGACCCTTAGTTAACCAGCAAATGGGGTGGAGAGCCCGCCAACTATGCCACTGTGCTGCTTCCTGCGAGTACTACCCAGGGTTGTGAGGCATGTTGCTACCAGCTGTCATTAGAGTGAAGAAGCCTTTTCTGTGCCTTCTGTGGGTCAGCTCCCCAGCTCTATCAGCCATGGACAACACAAGCATTCCTCTCTCTCAGACTACTCATGCTCTGGTCCTTCTGCAGGTTAGCAGTAGGGACGCTCCAACCCCCAAATCTTCGAAGTGTCCAGCGCTGGTCCACTGGACACTCAGATAATTCACAAACACCCTGTTCCCAAAGGAACAGTGCACACCAGCTTATCAGTTACACCTCGCATCATCACTCTGTTTATCATACCACACTTAGATATGTTTGTGGCACTCTACCCCAAGCAACCCTGGGAACCCATATTCACCACTGTCATATAATTATGATATGTTTCATACAAAGCATGCCATGTAAGATATATAAAAAGCCATGACCTGCTGAAACCCATTATTCTGTCCAAATGTGTATATCGTTAGTGTGTATCAAATTGAGATTTTTGCTGCATGGTTGTTACTGAAATATGTTTTAAGTTTGCTAGTAGCATACAAAGAAAGCAAAACACTCACAGGAGCGTATGACAGAATGTACTTAACAGCCATTAACAAGTAGGGGAGTTGTAATCAAGGGATTTACAATTCCAGGACAGTTGTGCAAGCACCGTACAAGGGGGACTGCTTGATCCTATGACTCCATTGCACAAGACCAGGGGACTGCTCAACTGAGGGACTCAGGGAAGCCCGTCAGGGTATGTCGAGACAAGTGTCTTCTAGGCACAGAGACTAAGGATGTAAAAGAGAGAACAGTGGCTGCATGTTTTGGCCTCACTCCCCTCAGAACTCAACAGCTGGAAACACATCTGGAAGGGGGAAGGTGGTCCCAGGCTGGAGGAGAATTCCAGCCTTTGTATTGAAGATCTGTTAGCTGCCTGTGCTATCTATCCGGGTGAGACACTGCTTGATTCAAATCCTGTTTAGTTTATAGAACTTAGATTGTTCACTTATTTTTTTTCTTTTAGTAATCATCTCTATCCTTTATGCCTACCACTTATAATCACTTAAAGTCTCTCTTTTTGTAGTTAATAAACTTTTGTTTTACCTAAAACAGCGTGTTTTGGTTGGAGTGCTTGGGAAATCTGCTCAGGAACAAAAACTGGTGCATGTCCTCTCCACATTGAGGGAAGGGCAGACTGAGTTATAAACATATACTGCTCAAGCTTCTGACCAGGACAGGATGGCATAGCACTGGAGTGCAAAGCTGGGGGGAATTGGCTGGAGCCTTGCTATTGTTAGTGCACGAGTGGCTGGGAGAAGCATTCATGTAACTCAGCTGGGTGTGTCCCTGCCTGTGGATGTCTGTATGAGTGTAGTACCTACCAGAGGTTTGCAACTTGTCACAACAGCATAGTGTAAGAGGGAGCCAAGGTTGATAAGCCAGAGGACTCAGTGGTACCCTAGTTCCAGGTTGCACCCTGGGAAGACCCATCACAATGTTTATAATGAAAAAAAGCAAATGTTTATTTAACAAAGAGGAAAGTTTCAAATGATAGCAAGTAGAAGTATTGGAAACAAATGGTTACATATAAAATAAAAACATACACATTCTACAACCTAGACTTTCTTAACTAGTTACTGTCAAGTCTTATAGGGCAAAGTTCACCCCAAATCCTTCCAACATATTACAGCCAGGCTTGGCTGTGATCTTCCATTCATGAAAAGCATCCTTATCATCTTCTGGTGACCTGCCTTAACTTGCATACCTCCTCTAGACAAATTCCAGACTGGAAATAAGGTGTAAATTTTTGAGAGAGAGTAATTAACCAATAGAACAATTTAGCAAGGGTCATGCTGGATTTTCTGTCACTGACAATTTTAAAATTTATATGAGATGTTTTTTCTAAAAGATGTACTCTAGGAGAGTGGACAAACAACTGAACGTGAGCTCTCAGTGCGATGTTGTAGCAAAAGGGCTAATGTGATCCTTGGATATATAAACAGGTTAGTAGAAGTAGGGAGGTGACTTATCTCTGTATACAGTCTTGGTGAGATCAGTGTTGGAATATTACTTACCGTTCTGGTGTTCATATTTTAAAAAGGATGTTGATAAATTGGAGAGGTACAGAAAAGAGCTACAAAAATTATTCTAAGGCTGAAGAAAATGCCTTGCAGTGAGACTTGAAGAGTTTTTCTGTTTAGCGTATTGAAAAGAAGATGGAGAAGAGATGTGATTACAGTGTAAAAGTTCCTTCATGGGGTGAAAATGCTGGGTTCTAAAGGGCTTTGTAATGCAATGGAGAAAGGCATAACCACAATCAGTGGCTCGAAGCTGAAGCCAGACAAACTTAAATTAGAAATTAGGCACAAATATTTAACAGGGAGGTTAATTAACTACTGGATCAAACGGCCAAGGGAAGGAGTGGATTCTCCATCTATTGATGTCTTCAAATGAAGACTGGAAAATATGCTTTAGCCAAACAAGTTATGCATCGGTCAGACATAAGCTATTGGTCTCAATAGGATAACTATGTGAAAATTAATGGCCTGTGATATGCAGGCAGTCAGATTAGATGATATAATGGTCCCTTCTGGCATTAACTGAGGAGTAACTCTAAGGGCTTGTCTACACTTGCAAGTGAGAGCGCATTAAATCAGCCCTGGACACCCTAACTCCTGAGGTGTCCACACTTAGAGCGCCTGAACTCGGTGGCTGGAGCACCCCTGGTAATGTGTTGCTAATTTTCACCATTCTATTAGGTGATCCAGGGCCAAGTAGAGTCAGAGAATCCGAGACAAATGTTTCCTCATAACGTAAATTCTTCCCAAATTGTTTTTAGATTATCTGCTAAAAATAAGGTTTGCAATTCAGTGGATTGATGAACTTTCTGGTGCCATTCCTGGTCCATTACACTGTGAGAACAATTGAGACAAGTTACTTTCTTTTTCAAAGTGGGGTATCTCTTCTGAAGTCCTTGCTCAAACCTTAAAGGTTATATAAAAAAAAATAAAGGTTTCTTCTTCAGCAATCCTAGGAAAGCAAGATTTGCAACCTCCTCCAGGAAAAAAAAAAATCCTTTTGCAATTTCTCCCCCTTTGCTTCAAGATATTGCTAGTGGCAGTTCAACAAAATCTTTCATGATGTTTTCTAAAGAGGAAGGCACAAAGTCTTTCTTTGAGACTTAAAAAGCTTTCTGAAGTAAGGGCTTTCCCCTCCCCCCCCCC